CTGTAATCCCAGTTACTTGGGAGGCTGAGGTAGGAGAATCGCTTGAATCCAGAAGGTGGAGGTTGTAGTGAGCTGAGATCATGCCACACTCCAGCCTGAGTGACAGAGCAAGACTCCATCTCAAAAAAAAAAAATCCACTCCTAGACAAATAGTAAATTTTAGAACACCAAGGAGAAAGAAAAAAAATTGTAAAGCTTCAGAGAAAATAAACAGATTAACTACAAAGAAACAAGAGTCAGACTGCATGTACTTCTTCCTAGATACCAGCAGACAACAAAGCAATATCTTCAAAATTCAGGAGGTTTTAACATAGAATCCTATACCCAGTCAAGAATATTCACATGGAAAAGCAAAATAAAAAACATTTTTTAAACATGCAAAGGTTCAGAAAGTTTACCACTTATAGAATCCCTGAAAACAAAACGAAATAATCACTTAAGGACTCCCTAAGCAAAACAAATGAGATAAAAGCACCAATGATGTACAAATAATCAGAAAAATTTGCAATTTACCTAAATAACTGTTAATACCTAATGTATGAAAATGCAAAAATTTAATATGGGACAGAATTAAAATCATAAGATTCTTTTTTGCTTTACTCATGGAGAGTTCACATAAACAGATTATCTTTTAACAGCAAGAGAAAAAATGTTTAGATATATGTGAAAAACTAAGGGTACCAAAACAGTGCAAATTCATTTATCATCAGGAAAATCCAAATTAAAACCACAATATCCACCAGAATAACTAAAAGGGAAAAGACAGAAATTACCAAGAGTTGGCAAGAATGTGGAGCAACCATATGTATTTCTGGGGTAAATAAGTTGGTGCAACCACTACTGAAAACTGTTTGCTAGTATCTACTAAAACTGAGCATATGCACAGACTACGACCAAGCAGTTCCACTCCCAGATACGCACTCAACAGAAATGCATATACTCACTCAACAAAAGGCATGTACTAGAGTGTTCATGCACTTACTATTCATAATAGTCGAAAACTGCAACCAACCAAGTGCTGATCAAAGTCAAATATATATCTACATTAGGGATATATACAATAGTATATACACAGCAATGAGAATGAAATGAACCAGCCAGGCACAGTGGCTCATGCCTGTAATCTCAGCACTTTGGGAGGCTAAGGCAGACAGATCACTCAAGGTCAGAAATTTGAGACTAGCCTGGCCAACATGGTTAAACCCCGCCTCCACTAAAAATACAAAAATTAGCCAGGCTAGTGGTTGTAGGCCTATAATCCCAGCTACTCAGGAGGCTGAGATGGGAGAATTGTTTGAACCTGAAAGCCAGAGGTCACAGTAAGCCGAGATCGAACCACTGCACTCCAGCCTGGGCAATAGAGCGAGACTCTGTCTCAAAAAAAGAAATCAAAAACACAAAAGAAGATGGCAGGAATAAACTGCAAAATATCAGTAATCAAAATAAATATAAATGGGCTAAAGCCACCTATTAAAAGACAAAGATTTCACACCCATAAGGATAGCTACTATCAAAAAAAGAGAGAGAATAACAGATGTTAGCAAGGATGTATAGAAACTGGAATTCTCATGCACTGCCGGTGAGAATATAAAATGGTTCAGCCTCTGTGGAAAACAGTATGCTGGGTCATCAAAAAATTAAAAATAGAAGTACTACTTGATCCAACAATTCTACTTCTGGGTATATACTCAAATAATTAAAAGCAGGGTCTTGAAGAGCTATTGGTACACCCATGATCAGGGCAGCATTATTCATAATAGCTATGATGTGGAACCAACACAAATATCCATTGACAAATATATGACTAAGCAAAATGTGGTGTGTACATTCAATAGAATATTAATTAGCAATAAAAATGAAGAAAATTCTGACACATGCTACAACATGAATGAACCTTGAGGGCATTACGTTAAACGAAATAAGTCAGTCATAAAAAGACAAATACTATATGAGGTACTATATTAGATACTCATGCAAGGTACCTAAAATAGGCAAATTCATAGAGACAAAAAGCAGAATGGTGGTAGCCAGGGGCTGGGGTAATGGATCCAGAGCTTCAATGTTGTAAGATGAAAAAATTCTGGAGATTAGTTGCACAACAATGTACACACACTTAATGGTGAACGGTACACTTAAAAGTGATAAATGGTAAAAAATATATTATAATAATAAATAAATTTTATGTTATTTTATCACAATATTTATTAAAAGACAAAGATTAAGTAATTAAACAAAATCCAACTATAAGCTAATGGTAAGAGTAATAATTAAAGAAGACACAGAAAATCGAAAATAAGTGAATAGAAAAAGATATTCCATATAAATGCTAACAAAAAGCAAGTATAGCAATATAAAGAGAATGAACAACAAAAATAATAAGATGGCTCATCTATTCCCAAAAGGTACAATTCCCCAAGAAGACATAAGAATTGTGAACCTTTAAGCAGATAAGACAGCTTCAAAAATACATTTAAAGAAAGAAATATATATGAAACATAGAAATAGAACAAAAACCCCTACAAGAATCATAATGGGAGTCTTCAAAACAACTCTCCGAATCAACAGGTCAAACAGAGAAAAAAAATAAGTTAAGGATGCAGAAAACCTGAATTATAATCAATAAACTTGAGATTAATATAGAACTGTATACCCAATATACTAAGAGTTCAGGGAACAGTCGTGACTGACAGTGGACGGCAAATTAATTTATTTGTAATCTTTGTTTTTCTTTCAGCACTGTGGCAGAATAGAGATCCCAAAACCTTCTAGCTACAAAACATCTTTTTTAAATGCTAGAAAAAATATAAAAATAACTCTGAAATCAATGGAAGAAACACGGTGAAACCAAAATTCTCAATACAGGGAGAATAAAGGCATTTTCAGATATTACAAAAACAGAGAATTGATCATCACTGTAGTAATTTCTAAAGAATGTACTTGAGGGAGAAGGAAAATATTCCAAAGAAAATCATCTGTGATACAAGAAGGAATGCAAAGTGAAGAAATGGTAAACAGGTAGATAAAGCTAATAAATGTTGACCTAGAAAATAACGAAAACAATAGCAATCATGTCTCGTTGGAAGGCTTAAAGTAAAAATACAACTAAGGCCAAATGTGAGGTAAGTGGAATGAAAGAATTAGAAGTCCTTGCCTTGCTCACAGGACTGATTAAATAAATGAGCCAAGTTTTCCATTCAAACGGCTAAAACTTTAACAAAATAAGCTCAAATTAAGTAGAAAGATAAAAAACAGAAATTAATGACATAGAAAAATAAAAAATCAATAGAATTAATCAATAAATCCTGGTTAATAAAAGCTGGTTCTTTGAAATGATTAATAAAATAATCATTAAGCAAGTCTGATCAATAAAAAAGAGAAAAGGTACCAAAAAAAGTACTGTATCAGAAAGAGAACATACAGGTACATACAGATATGTAACAGTCTGTTTTCTGACACAGAATACTATATACATTAGGCTAGCATATATTAAAATTCAATAGTGTTAATGATTTTCTAGGAAAATAGAAAATATTAAATTTACTTTGAAGAAACAGAAAAACAGAAAAATGAATGATCGTGAAAAAAATGAAAAAGTAATTAAATACTGATATTAACTTCCTAAAAAAACACCAGCAGCAGCCCAGGCAGTCTGTAGTCAAGTTCTGCCAAACTTGAGGAAACAGATAATTCTTCTATTCCAGAGCATAGAAAATGATGGTAAGTTTCCCAATTTAATCAGAGAGGACAGCCTAATCCTAATTATGAACACAGATAAAAATGGGGTACACTATGCCAATCTCAGATACCAAAACCCTAAATAAGATGCTAGCGTATTGATGTGAACAATCCAAAAGTGCATTTTAAATTAGCCCAGGGTTTTAGAGAAAGAAAATCTAGCAACGTGACCGCTTACGTTAACAATTTTAAGACGAAAATCTACATGATCAATGCATGCTACACAAAAGCATTTGGGCAAAAAAACAAAAAAAAAAAACAAAAACAAAAAACCCACCCCTGACTTTTTAAACTCTTAGTAATTAGGCATAAACGGAAATGTACTTAATGTGATAGAATACACTCGGTGAAGATACAGAGAGGAATGCGTCCTAAAAACAGGCCCGAGACAAAGATTCCTATTTAACCTTAATAGTCAACGCTGCAGCGAGAGTAATCTCTGGAAGACAGGACAAACATGAGAGACATCTGTTGTTTAACAGACAAGAAGATCACCTACTCGGAAGAGGCAAACGAATCAACTGAAAAACTATTAAAACTGGGACAGGGTTTAGTATGGAGGCTCAGCTTCAGCTGTAGTTGGGGCTACCAAATTCAACTCGCTTGCTTGGAGAGTTAATCCTGCAAAGCTAATTTCTGTTGAGGTATTAGGATTGGCAAGCCTTGCTCCTCCCTCCTCCCTCGTCCCCCATCTTCAACACTGAAATAACACGGTGTTTGAAACTGGATTAAAACTGCAACAGGGTTTAGTATGGAGGTTCAGCTTCAGCTGTAGTTTGGGCTACCAAATTCAACTCGCTTGCTTGGAGAGTTAATCCTGCAAAGCTAATTTCTGTTGAGGTATTAGGATTGACAAGCCTTTGCTCCTCCCTCCTCCCCCATCTTCAATACTGAAATAACACGGTGTTTGAAACTGGATAACAGAATCTTCCAAAAACAAAAATTGCCCTGAAGGGCTGACTTGTGCCCCTACGCAAAAAAAAAAAACACTTTATCTGCTGCCTGCAGCTCCTACGGTTGCTGGTGGATAAGCCTGTCAACCAGCTCGGCGTAATTCTTCCTGCAGAGGGCAAGGAAGAGCACCTTCACAGGAAGATTTTTTTCCGAACTGTATGCCGCTTATTACATAAACTTACGTGCTGGCAAATGGAGCTCCAGCAAAATAAGATATTCAGAGTCAAACTTCCTTAGGAAAAAAAAAAAAAAGCACGCACATAACACTAATTTCCTTGCACGGACATTGGGGAAGGAGGTCGTTACTGCCGCGCGCCCGCAGGTCCGCACCACCGGGAAACCCACGGGCACCGCGCGCTCCCCCCGGTCCGCCAGGTGCACTACACCGCGGCGCCCCACCTGACCCGGGATGCGCAGCCCTAGACCTTCCCCGGTCACCCAGGCCAGGAAGGGGCGGGAGTGCCGCGGACGCCGAGGGCCAAGGGCTTCTCGGTCCTCTGCACCACGCAGCACCCCCAAGGCAGCACCAGGGAGGGTGCGGGAGGCTCCCGAGACCCAGGAGCTGGGGCCGGGCGTGCCCGCGCACCTGTCCCACCGCGGCAAGGGCTGGGGTCGCCTCCAGGGCCGCAGCTGTCGGGAGCCACCTGGCCCTCAGTCCCAGGTCCCTGTGACAACCCTCGGGCCCGGAGGGGAGGCGGCGGCCACCTGCCGCGGCCACCTGCGGCACCGGTCCCACCGCTCCGGGCCGAGCAGGACAGGGCAGGACGTCCCTCCTGGGCTGGGGACAGGGACACGCGCCGAGGGGACCGGGGCCCCCGCAGCGAAGACGCAGCGCGCCTTCCCAGAAAGGCAGTCCCGTGCCTCCGCGACGGACTGCCGGACCCCCGCGCTAGCCCACCAACCCCTGCAGACCGCGCGGCTGAGACGCAGAAAGCCGGCCGGCGGGCGGGCTGACGGCGCGGCGCCTACTCACCGGCCCCGCTGGCTCAGCGCCGCCGCAGCCCGCAGCCGCCGCGGCTCCCGGCGCTCACTGATGCTCAGGAGAGGGACCCGCGCTCCGCCGGCGCCTCCCGCCGGCGCCTCCCGCCAGCGCCGCCAGGGGGCGAGCGCGACCGCGCGGGGCTCGCTGGGAGATGTAGTCCCCGGACCGCCGCCTGTGCTGTCCTCCTTCAGCAGGCGGCCGGGGGCCCCTCTCTACCGGCGCTCCCTGTCTCATCTCCCTATCTGCTCATCCTCTGTTTGCAGATAATCTATGTTGGGGCGCCCCCGTCCAGATCTGGGCCCCATTTCCGCACTCGAGACCAGCGGTTTTCTAAGGGTGGTGCCCGGACCAGCAGCTTCAGTCTCATCTGGGAACTCGAGAAAATGCTGGTTCTCCGTCCCACCGAGGCTATTCGGTTTTTCCTGCACTAAAACTATGAAGGTGGGGCCCAGCAGTCCGCATTCTTGCAAGCCCTTCAAGTGATTCTGAGGCGTCCTCCAGTTTGAGAGCTATGCTCACGGCCTCTCCTGCGCCCCGCCCGTCATGCCTGTGGCGCTAGCCGCACACGGACACAGCATTCTGCGGGGCCCGCCCCCGCCGCGCCGCTGCACCCTCACCGCCCAGTGCCTCCTCCAGGATGCCGTGGAGGCGCCTGGAACTCGGGAAGGTGAATATCCCACTCAGTATCTTCCCTACCCTCACGCTGAGGCACATGGCCAGGGGTTGGAAAGAGTCACTGTGTTTCTTGACATGGAAGTGGCCTAAGACCTTAGTGAAAGCTGCAGGAGTGGAATGACAGGACCTTCGGTCATATTTGAGGGCGGGAGGATCAAAGGAGGAGGATGGAAAGGATCCAGGGAAAATAACCAACACTGGCAAGTCGCGGTGCCCAGGTAGAGGGGCGAGCCCAGACTAGTGGTTCTCGACCAGGGCCCATGTTGCCCTTCCTCGCCGCCCCGCGAACATTTGGGGAGGTCTGGAGACATTGTTGGTTGTTATGATGCGGGAGATGCTACTGTTACCCAAGTGGGTAGACACGAGGGTGCTCCTCAACATCCTACCTGAAGGACAAGACTGTCCCACAAGGAAGAATGATCCGGCCCCGAATAAGAAGCCCTTGGCTGGTCAGCAACAACCCTTTTGTTCTGAGAAGACAGGAGGAAAGAATAAAAGAAGAGGGGTGAATGGTTTGGTAGAGGAAACGAAGACATTTTCACTAGAAAGGAAGAGAGGAAGAGAAGGAAGATATCTGTAAGGACGAGCAAACCGAGTGACAGCGGATTTCCTCATACTGAAGTAATGAGTCCTAGTTATAATAAATTCCTAATAAAAAATCCAGTTTATCCCTGCAATAAACTTGTCATATTTTTTAAAATACACTGCTGGATTCTGTTTGCTAATATTTTATTTATAAGCTTTCCATTGATATTCAAAAATGAGATGGGCAATAATTTTCTTTTGGAATGTCTAATGTTGTTTGGTTTCAGAATCAATGTTATGCTCATATCATAAAAAATTTGGAACCGAGGCAGGAGGAATACTTGAAGCCAGAAGTTCGAGACCAGTCTAGGAAACATAGTGAGACCCCATCTCTACAAAAAAAGAAAAAAAGAAAAAAAATTGGACGCGTTTGCTTTTTCCTTTTACTCTGAAGAATTTAAGGAGCATTAAAATTATCTGTTCTTTGAGGTTTGATCATTTATCAGTTGAAAATGTCCCTCCCAGCCTGATACTTTCTTTGGGGAGAGTAAATCTTTTAAGGCTAGAAATGTTTCCTTTGTGGCAGTTTTATAATTTACATTTTAAAAATTCTTCTAGAGTTAATTTTGATAAAGCATGTATTTCTTAAAATAAATTATCCTTTTTTTCCAGATTTTCAAGTGTATGTGCATAAAGTTGAGGAAAGTAGTCTTTTGTGAACCTTTTAACTTCTCCCAAATATCTTATTTTGTGTGTTTTTGCTTTCTTTATTTTGTTAACTTTTACAATTATATTTTTTTTTCAAAGAACCAGCTCTTAGGTTTATGTTTTTGGTTATACTGGAGCTTTTTTCTTCTTCTTTTTAAAATATTTTTTCTCCTTTGCTTTTTCTTTTTTTCCTCTCTTTTTAGCCTAACTTGAAGCCCACCTACTATTTTTGTTGTTGTTGTTCCCTGTTAAAAGAAAAACTTAAGACACAGTTTGAGCATAGAATGATTTGATTCCTAAATCTGGTAGCTGCCCTAAGCAGAATAGGTTAAAAGTGACTCTAGCACTGTCATGTGGTCAGAGAGGATTTATGGAATGGTTAAGAGCGACTCCAGCACTGCCACGTCATCAGGGAGGATTTATGGACAGAAAAAAAGAAAGTACGTACAGAAAATGGAAGTGAGGTGCAGAAACAGCCAGATGGGTTACAGCTCAGCTTTTGCCTTATTTGAACAGGGTTTGAACAGTTGATGCCTGTGATTGGCTGAAACTAGGTGATTGGCAGAAGAGTAGGTTACAGTCTGTTTGCACGTTTATTTACAGTTCACTCTGTATGGAGGAACCTATAGGCTGAACTTAAAATATGTATGAAGGCAGCTTTAGGCTAAACTTAATATTTCTAATTATTAATTTCTGTTTTTGTGTTTATTCCTTTTTTCAGCATATTTCAGGGTATTCCTTTCTTTCAGGATATATTTTTTTTTCTAACTTCTTGAATTTTTTGGTAAATGTAAGTATTTAAGGCTGAATTCTAAATCAAAAAATTAGCTGGGCATTGCAGTGCACACCTGTAATCCCAGCCACTCAGGGCTGAGGCGGGAGGATCGCTTGAGTACAGGAGATCGTGGCTGCAGGGAACAGAGATCCTGCCAGTGCACTCTAGCCAGGACAACAGAGGGAAGCCCTGTCTCAAAAAAAAGCAAGAGGTGGGGGCTAACTTAGCATTTGGATGTAGATTAGATATGTACTGCTTTAGATATAGCTCATAATTTCTGACGTAAAGCATTTTCACTATTTTTATTTTACAGATATTCTAAAATGTTGGTTTTGTCTTAATGTAGTTTTAAAATTTGAAGTGGAAGTATGAGAGTTTTATTTATTTATTTATTTTATTTTATTTTATTTTTTCCCCCAAGACGGAGTCTTGCTTTGTCACCCAGGCTGGAGTATGGTGGCGGCTCAATCTCGGCTCACTGCAACCTCCGCCTCCCAGGTTCAAGCGATTCTCCTGCCTCAGCCTCTTGAGTAGCTGGGATTACAGGCACGCGCCACCACACCCGGCTGATTTTTGTACTCTTAGTAGAGATGGGGTTTCACCACATTGGCCAGGCTGATCTCGAACTCCTAACCTCGTTATCTGCCCATCTCGGCCTCCCAAGATGCTGGGATTACAGGTATGAGACACTGCACCCGACCCAAAGTTTTAAAATATCCAGGTGGTAGAGGCTTTTGTTATTAATTTTTAGTTTTATTTCGTTGTGATCAGAGATCAGTGTTTTCTGTACTGTACCTTTTTTTTTTTTCCCCAAGAGATAGGGTCTTGCTCTGTTACCCAGGCTGAGGTGCAGTGGCACAATTATAGCTCATTGCAGCCTCGACCTCCTGGGCCCAAGTGATTCTCCTGCCTCAGCCTTCCAAGCAGCTGGGACTACAGGTGTGAATCACCATGTATGGCTAATTTTTTTTATTTTTGAAAATTTTTTGTAGAGATGGTGTCTCACTATGTAACCCAGGCTGGTCTTCAACTTCTGACCTCAAGTGATCCTCCCAATGTGGCCTCCCAAAGCACTGTCATTACAGGCATGAGCCACTGTGCCTTGCCTGTAAACACCTTTTACATTCGAAATACTTGAGTTTTCTTTGCAGCATAAAATGGGGTCAATTTTTGCGAATGTTTGATGGGCACTCAAGGGTAATATGTACTCTTTGTTTTCAACATACAGATTTTGATATGTATCAATGAGATATAATTTGTCAATTATTTATGTCTTCTGTGACCTTAGACGTATTTTGATCTAACATAATCTGAAGAAAGTAAATTAGAATCTTTTGTTACTATTGTGTTTTTATTTCTCTGCTTTATAAATAGTACCATGTTACTTGTGCATAAATATTCATTCATCTTATATTCTTGGGAATTGTCCCATTTCATCATAAAATGACCACCTTTGTCTCATTTAATGTATTCAACCTTTGCCCTGAATTTAACTTTGTCTGATATTATGACAACCCTACTGAATTTTGTTTGCTACCCCAATAAACCTTTGCTGTTTTCATCTTTTCTGAACCCTTTAAATCCCTTGAATTAGAGCACTAAGTTTTGCTTTGTGATTAAATCTGAAAATCTTTATCTTGCCATATAGAAGAGTTGAGCCCTATTCATGTGAATGCTATCTTATGCTGTTTCATACCCCTTTTGGTCCTTTTTTCACTCTTTCATTGCATATTTTGTGTTTATTGTGTTTTGTGTTTCTTCTGATAACCTGGAAGGTTTATATTTTTATTCAAGGAGTTGCCTTTATAATCATACTCTGCAATACGCATAGTCCTCAGTTTCTTCAGACTGTCTGTTAACTATCTATTCTGAATCAAGATGACATTGTACTTTCCCTCTTTTTTCTTTACCCCTGTTCTTCTCCTCACCTAATGTAAATTATTTTATCCTTCTTTAGTATTTACTTTTTTCATTAACTACATTTATAAATAGTTATCACTTGATTTTTAAGTCAGCTTTGAATGAGATATTTGGATTCCTAGATATAAAAGATGTTAACTGTACCATTTCCACGTTAGTGGGTTTATAAAATCATACATTCTGCTGCGTAACCATAATCCCACGTTTGTTTTAGTTCTACTCCTACAGTTAAACAGATTCAGAATTACTATTAACAGTTATTTTGCCATCGTTTTTTCCCCAACCCCCATTTTGTGGTAAGTTATGATCCTGCTTTAGTTTCTTCAAGAATAATTTATAGGGCAGAGTGTGGTGGCTCACGCTTGTAATCCCAGCACTTTGGGAGACAAGAGGTAGAAGGATTGCTTGAAGCCAACAGTTCAAGACCACCCTGAGCAACATAGCAAGTCCTTGTCTCTACAAAAAATTTTAAAATTTAGCCAGATGTAGTGGCATGTGCCTATAGTCCCAGCTACTCAGGAGGCTGAGGCAGGAGGATTGCTAGAGCCCAGAAGTTTGAGGCTGCATTGAGCTCTGATTGTGCCACTGCACTCCAGTCTGGACAACAAAGTGAGACCCTCTCTCTTTAAAATAATAATAATAATTTATGAAAATTATATTACCTGAGTTTTTCATGTTTAAAAATATGTGTTGCCTTTATCCTGTAAAAGTTTGAGTATACATTTCTTGGGTAATACTTTATTTCTTGAAGAATGTAAGTATTGTCTTCTAAAATTGAGTGTTGTTGTAATGAAATCAGAAGTCAACCTGGTTTATTTCTCCTTAGAAGTGAAGTAATTGCTGGGCGCGGTGGCTCACGCCCGTAATCCCAGCACTTTGGGAGGCCGAGGTGGGCGGATCACGAGGTCAGGAGATCGAGACCATCCTGGCAAACACGGTGAAACCCTGTCTCTACTAAAAGTACAAAAAATTAGCCGGCCATGGTGGCGGGCGCCTGTAGTCCCAGCTACTCGGGAGACTGAGGCAGGAGAACGGCGTGAACGCGGGAGGCGGAGCTTGCAGTGAGCCGAGATCGCGCCAACTGCCCTCCAGCCTGGGCAATACAGCGAGCCTCCGTCTCAAAAAAAAAAAAGAAGTGAAGTAATTGCCGACCGGGGGCGGTGGCTGACGCCTGTAACCCAACAGTTTGGGAGGCCGAGACGAGCGGATCACGAGGTCAGGAGATCGAGACCATCCTGGCAACACGGTGAAACCCCGTCGCTACTAAAAGTACAAAAAATTAGCCGGGCATAGTGGCGGCGCCTGCAGTCCCAGCTACTCTGGAGGCTGAGGCAGGAGAATGGCTGTGAACCCGGGAGGCGGAGCTTGCGGTTGCAGGGAGCCAGGATCGCACCACTGCACTCCAGCCTGGGAGACAGAGCGAGACTCCCTCTCAAACAAGCAAACAAACAAACAAAGAAGTGAAGTAATTGCCATGCTGCTTCAAGAATTATCTCTTTGTCTATGAAATCCAGAAATCTTACTGTTATACATTTTGTAAATATTATTCTGGGCCAATATTTCCTGGGACACAATAGACTGAGTCTACGGATTTAATTCTTTTTTTTTTTTTTTTTTTTTTGAGACAGAGTCTCACTGCAATCTCAGCTCACCTCCTGCCTCCTGGGTTCAAGCAATTCTCCTGCCTCAGTCTCCCAAGTAACTGGGACTACAGGCACGTCCCACCATGCCTGGCTAATTTTTGTATTTTTAGTAGAGATGGGGTTTCACCATG